TGAGCCCGTGTCCACAGTAAAACCTTAAAAACACAGCATTTTAACAGTGCTGTGAAGGAAGGTGTGGCACTTTCCTTTATCCAGGATCAAAACAGTAAAATGAATCCATGTTAATTTAATTTTGGAGATCATATTTTTCACAATGCACAGATCGACTCCTGCACCAGAGCTTTTGGTAAGACTTGCGGGTTGATCAGTGATGCCGTGCTTTAGCTTATGAATCTGCACATATATCAGTTCTTTGGGGTTCTTATCTCTGTGTTGCATGTGGAAACATCCATGATTCTGATCATATAGAGTAATCTAATCTATACAGAGTTGTGCACAATCCTCACAAATGCAACTCTGCTGATGCTGTTTTGCATTAATCTATTTTTCATTCTAAACAGAGGTGAGCAGTTTAGAGTACTAAACAGATGCACTTTGGCTTTAATCAAACACATTTGCATTATATACTACATTACATATATTTCATGTTAAATTCTCTGGGCATGCCTTTCTATCAAAGCAAAATTAGAAAAAGGACTTTCACCTTCTTTAGTGGGAAGGACATGTTACAAGCAGAAAATATAACTGAATCATCGCACACATGAACACAACCCGTTTTGCAAGATTTAAACTGCCCAGGCAAGTCATCCACATGCAAATTAAACGAGGAGGATGTCAGGATCCTGCCTGACACATTTACTGACGTGGAAGAGTCACCAAGAAATAGTCAAACTTACACAGCCTCATAAACAAACAAACCAAAAACCCTTCAAATTTAGCAGCATTGGGTTCCTGACCAAAGGATACTTGCAAAACACAGACCAGGTGACTAACTGTAAGAAAAATAAACAATGAGTAGCCTGTCAAAGCAAATGCGGACCCACTTCCACACAGGTGTACTGCCAAGTACAATTAAGAAATCAGGATCCAGTCATGCACTGCGGCATGTACAAAAATGCTGAGCAGGCCAGTTGCTTCCGATTTTGCATTAAGATAGCGAGAGCTATGACTCTGAAAGAGGGCTCACTATGGAAGCATGTGTGACTGGAGCTTCAGTCTCCTGCTCAAGTGTCTGGTGTGTTAGTCGTTGTAGTACGGTACGGTAAGATCTAAATTCTGGTCAATGAGAAAGACACTGAAGATTATTGTTTGATACCACATATTTGATAGCTGTGATGTCCTTGTATTAGTGCAATATGGAAGGAAACAGGGCTGTTTCTTCCTCGGGTGACTGACCTGGATGTTATAGTTCAGCATCTGTGAATATGCCATAGTCCGCTTGGATCCAACGGGTGTAAATCTTACCAACAGCTGGTGAGCTCGAGGCTCAGTGCGCTGCCCACAACAGCATAACATTATAATCTCTGCCTGAGAACGTCAATAGCAGTGATCAGGCTGTGTCAGCAAAAACTCTTCATTGTCAATTACATACACAGAGTTATTATAGCAGGCTCGCAGTGCATAATCCCCACATTTCAAAGATCAATGCATATTTGACAGCTTAGTGATGTAAAAATGATAACCACTGATCTACAAAAATGCACACACGAAAAAATAAGTGAGAAACGCATCACCCAACAGATGAACAAAAGGATACAGGTTTGAACCCTTGACCCCAAAGTGAAGGGATCCAGTGACTCTGTTAGATTGTGAGCTTTAGTTTGTCCGCTTAGAATTAAGGGTCACTAGAAATCAATAAAAGCTTCCAATGAAAGGTTTCTGTCCTGATGTGAGGGTGGATTTCTTTCATGTGGGGTCAAATAAATGTTTTAATGAATGAAAAATAATCTGAATCATAATATTGGGCCTTCGCAGTCATTAGATATTAAACCACTTTAACGCCTTCTTGTAGATAAATTTGGGCTGCAACACCATCATCCCCATTAAAAGCCAAATGAGGGAAACAGGACAGAGTAATCCCCTCCAATTCAGTGTCCAGACTCAATTTCCGTGACGCTGTTCTAGCAGCATGTGGTGGCCCAACACCTTACTCAGATGTTTTATATGAAGTCTTCCTTTAGTTTGCCACCCATCCCCACACAGTCTTTGTTATCACTATTACCATTTTTACTGTTTTATATGCTTGCTGCTTTAAGGTTTATGACAGGAAGTTAACAGCACTGTGATCAGTCAGGGACAACGCCACGGACTTGGAAGCCAGTGAAAGAAGTTGCAAGAAAAGAAAAGGAGCGATTGTTGTTTAGCATATATTTGATTAAGGCTTGAGTTGATATCCGGCTAAGGCTTTGTTAAGACAAAAGCTTTCCCTGGTTCTCCCCCAAAACAGGCTTAAAAAATACTCTAAAATGAAAAAAGGAAATTTAAAAACAAAAAACAGGCAAATGTGATGACGTATCACTAGTTTACCTGTTCATTATTTTATATTATCCCCGTATGCTCAATGATCAAGGTTAACTCCTGAGTGTCTTTCTGGTTTCTCTCTTGAGCAACCACACGATTAGAGCAGGTGTGCAGCCCAACAATAATCTAATGTAACGATAAATTATTGCAGTGAAGCTGAGCAGATACCCAAAGCCTTTCTGCCTTCTCGAGTTATTTTTGGGCCAATTTTCATATACACATAAGAATCCTTTATGACATCCTGGCTTTTCTATCACATTAGATTTTATTTAATTTATTTTTATTTAATTTGTTTTGTAATTGTCAAAAAAGTGTCTCACAAAATTTAGTGCAAGTTTTCTCAGTTTTCTAAAGCATTGCCTGTGTTAGCGAGCAAACCTCGGAGGTGACACTGCAAAACAGAAGCGAGGCCAAATCTAAATGGTGCTTTGTTATGTTGATGTGCAATTATGTCCACGTAGGAAAGTGAACTTTTTTTTTTTTTAAACTGAATTTTGTAACTGTGGTCACAATACTAAGAATCATTGATGCTGTAATACTGCTTGGAGGACTTCAACAGGACACAAAAAATTCTACCCTTCACCAAAAGTAGCAGACGTTAATCTTCAGACAAAGCCTCACAAAATTTATCAGACGCATTACTGATTTTCAAAACTGTAACAACTGAGAACAATCACCAGCAAAGGCACAAAACAGGAAGTGAGGGGCCTCAGCAACCATCGCATATATTGAATCCAAATCTAATGTATGGACTCGACACTAATAAGTTATCCAAAGGAGGAAAAAAATTGTCTGAGCTGACTTTCAGTTTTGTTTGTTTGGTTTTATTTGCACCCTACTGATGGAACTGTAGGTAAAACTGTTATTCGTAGTTTTAACTTTGTTTTCATTGTAACTTCCTGAATTGCAAAGTAATGTCATAAAGATTCATCGTTTTTTTATTAATTTACTTACATCTAAAATGTGTATGTGTGCTCCGGTAAAGTTGCTCATTGGTTCTAAGTTCAAATAGCATAAACAGCTCTTGATATTACAAGCTGTAATTTTACATTTGTTAAAGAAAACAACGATATAAGGATTTAGCTTTGCTTTATGATTTCTAGCCATTTAGCACATCAGCCAAAACAGCCCCACAGTTAACCTAACAATTAAAATATAACCATTAATTTATTTTCCTTGATTTTCTTTGTCCTACCGTGTGTGTGTGTGTGTGTGTAAGAGAGGATTGTATTTTTTTGTTACATTAAAAAACTGAAAGCAGCTGTCACTGTGTTTATCACAGAAAAGGGCTAAGCTACATTTATGGCTTGTTAAGTGGTTTGTGTTCATACAATCCCTGTCTGGCCCCTCCAAAGCGAAACTGGCGTTTGTTTTGATCCTCTACCCTTAAGTAGCCCATTCCTGGAATGAGGCCTGCAAAGAAAGTAATGAAGTAAAACAAAGCTGTATTTAAGGTATTGACCGCAAAGTCATAAAAAGACGTCAACAATCTACATCCCTGTAGAAGAACAGACACTGTTTGCCAGACTGAAAAGCTACGTGCATGGTGAGTTCCCAGGCATGTTATGTTAGATCTTTATCATGTAGCTCTAAAGCCACAGCTGTGCTTGTTGGACTGTTCCAAGGAGTCCAGTGCTGCTTTTGGTCTAAATAAGCTACGTCTCCCCAACGACTCTCTGGTACCGGAAAAGGGCAGATGTCTCAGTCCTGCCCCGGGCTACGAGGCTCTTGTCTGGGCCCTTTCTTACAACTTCCCAGGGGATTTTTCCTTTAAGACAGACAGACGACCACCCCCCACCCATCATGATTCAGCACGTGTGAATGTGTGTACTTTAAGGTAAACAAGTAATTCCAGCCAAGCAAATTCTCTTTGAATGCTTGAATCACTGAAGGAGGTTACAAAAGGCCAGAGTGGCGGCGGATGTGCTTGTGCTCCCTTTACAAAAACAAAGACGAGGGAGGGGGGTGGGACAAGGGAAGAGAAACAAGTAAAGAGGAGGGTGAGGATAACCAAGAGCTTGACTGGGGTAATTTTTAAAATATAATAAATCAAAAAAAGAAAGAAAAGAAATGAAGCTTTTTAAAGTGGATAAGAGAGAAATGATGTAGGCGTTTGAGCTGCAGCACAGACCACCCAACTGCCGGCTCATGAGCTAGCATGCTCCTAACAGCCTCACTTCTTCCACTGGAACCGATTCTCAAAAGAAACCAGTCCCTATGTTTAGCTTGTAAATGTTTAACCATCAATCAACATCATAAAACCCACTCTGGATCCTGACTGGATGCTCTCTTTCCCTCGCAGGTCCCCTCCACTTTACATCTCCCTCCAGTCTTCCTCCCCAGCCCCCTCCTCTTTTATTCCCTCAGCTCCTCTGCGGTGGTGGATGCTGGGCATATGCCACACTGCCACTCCCCTTTTTCTTTTTCCAATATGCCCCTCAGCTCCATGACAGCCATCAATCAGCCGCTGACGCCATGGCGACAGGGCCCCTGGGGAGCGTTCGTCAGGCCCAGCATGAATACGCCGGAGCTTTACGAGGGCTGCCGGCTAACAGAACAGCACTCACCTCCCCCACACCTAGACAAAGGCTTGGGTCCAAGGACTAGTACTGTCCACACACACACACACTTCATTGACCTCCTCAATAAACACAAAGAGAACCAACATCAAACTGAAGGGTAACCACAAGATGTCAGGGAGAACCAACCGTGCAGAAACTCTCAAAGCTCCACGCCACAGCAGCACACTCCCCAGACTGACATTTCACTGTTCCTTCATTTGCTTAATGTTTTCCATTCAAAGGAAATGGCTTCAGTCAAACCAAAAGACACAACTTAACATCCTATTTAGTGTTTTTACTTCCTTTAAAATTGATGTTCCCATTTTCCCAGAGATTAATTCTCTAATTCATGTATGGAAATACAATTTTCCCAAAACAGACTCTCCGATCTTTGACACATTCACAGAAAAGGACAAGCATATTCTAAACAAGCAAGCAACCAGAAGCAATCAATTACCATTAAGTAGGCTAGTTGAATTAAGGCTGACTGTCAAACAAAAACGCAGTCTTTCCTTTGTACGAGCTGCAATAATAAGGAATGTGGTTACTGAAAGGGCAGAGCCACGCTGTAGCCTCTCTCTTGGCTCCCAGGTCACCTGCCAGATCAGGAGGCCTGTTACCCTGACAACCCTATCTGCCAAGAGCAGGACCAACATCTCAGTTTTAACCCCTTCCTGTCTGGTACACCACTAACCCGCCTACAAACTGCACTGTGCATCAATCATCCTAAGAGGGCTCCTTAACCTCTAATGTCTTTCCTATGCTGATACAGCACAACCTGAAAAGTCTTTCTATTTTATTTACATCAGCAGCACCATTTTAATCTTTGGAGGCAGAAAGAGACGTTGGGAGGGGAACGGCAGAGGCCATAGACATTCAGTTCACAGTTTCTTTTGATCTATGCAAGGTTCTTTTTAATGTTCTTTTTTTGAATGCTGACTCAAAGCAGGAAATGAAATGACAACAGCACCTCAAAACTGCATAATTATCAAGATGCAAAGCACCCATATCATGCAAATATAGAACTGCTATCGTAAGAGAAGCAATGCGCTACCAAACCACACACATGTACCGAGTGACACCTCATAAATTCAGGATGTAAGGCTGCTCCAGCAGTTCTTCTGTTTCAAATCCATTAGGATTATGTCACTGCAGGTAATATGTTTCAACATGTATTGGCGCTACCACACATTCAGGCAGCTGGAGGTCTTTAACAGAAATAGAGCTGTGTGCATGAAATTCTCAGATGCTGTGCAGAACACACCGGAGGTTCTTCGTCTTCACAACTGAGGCAGCGGGGAGCTTGGGCTAAGGGGAGAGCACTTGACAGGTCTGACTCAGGACATGCTGACATCAGCATCATTTTCCCAGAAGCCCATAAAGCTCATGGTTGGGCGCAGCATTCAACCCACCAACAGATCATGATAGCTGATCATAAATCAGCAGCAGACACAAAGTGTTTAAAATTGCATTAGATGGTTAAATACAGCTACAAGGTGCTACAGGGAATACATTATGACATAATGAAAAAAGTTATATATAAAGACATCACTTCTCAGCCTCAAGCACAAACTTATTGTCTTCTCCTGGTGAACAAAAGGCAATATTTGCAACCGTTTCCTTGTAAGCAGTACTCACATAATCATGGAAAGCTTTTGCTTCGCTGGAGTGGTCACATGTCTCTCTCCTCTCTGGTGCAGCACAATACAAGTCCCAGAAAACACTGTGGACAAGAGAGCTCATGAAGCCAAAAAAACCCCAACTCACACACAAGTGGACATTTTATTACATTACAAAGAGATGACACTTACCACCACCATGAATGCAGGAATCCAGGGGGTTCACCAAGTGTTATGTTTTTCTCCCATCGGATCTAGGACAGCACAATTTCAATAATTATCTATGGGTGTCACTTTAACAATACTGTCCTGGAAGAATAAAAATAAATGTTTAAAAATATAAAGGACGTGTTAATACGGTTAAACTTTTACCCTAAATGCCACATACCTCTGATAAAAAGGTCTGTGCAGACTTCTGTGCCCCTATGTGTAACAAATACTCATACACGTAAAGAGCCAACCTGCGGGGGAGAAAAAAATAATTACAAATTGAGGTTTAATTTAACAAACTTGACCAAGTAGCAAAGCAAAATCACCAAACATCAGGTTGAATCTTCCTGTACGCGAACAATGAGTGATTAGAGTCGGGTAAGGCCCTCTGAACAATGGCTGCCAAATAGCAGATGCCAAAAAATTAAATTGGGACTCGCAAGCAAAGCCAAGGCTGGTGAAGACTCTCAACAATCAGGAGGTTAAAAGAAAGTGTGGAGGCAACGGCGTAATTTAACGTCGTGATGCGAAGCATTTAAAGAAAACAACAGCAGCCTGTTGTGTATTAGCTAGGTACAGTATGTTGGTGGCAGTGACGGGGCTGAGGGAAATTAAAACGGAGCCTATCCAGAGAGCGCAACAGAGAAAACAATGTACTGTAGCACGGCGATGTTATTGTTTTACTCTCTCCGCACCGTCGTCCGAATAACCGCAAAAATCTCAAACAACTGCCGATAAAAACACAAGTAAACTACAACCGGAATCGGCTGGAAATGTGTACAAAATCAGCAATAATCTACATGAAGCAGAACACAGCTCAAAGGAGGAATGGCGAGCAGACAAGGCGGTTCATTCAATTGCATTCTCGGTAAGAGGAAATCGCCTCTTGCTAGCCTGTCCAGCAAACAACAGAGAGCAAGAGGGAGCAACTTACGAGGTAAAAAAATACACAATAATAAACGCTTCTCGGCTTACTTTTCTCGTGCTTGGCTGTCCGACGGCACCGGGGTCCCTTTGCCTTTGGGGAACATTGTTTTGTTTGGAGGACGCCCGCCTTCTCTTTCTCTTTTTTGCTATTTCATCTGTCAGATCATCGCGGCCGCGACCCTCTCGCACTCCAACCGCACTCCTCCTCAACCCGACGACTCAACCGAGCCTGCTCCGGAGGAGGGGGAGAAAGAGGCGGAGCCACGTCTGACTGACGCTCCCATAGGCCAATAGAAACATAACAATCGCCTTAAGGTCTGCCTTTTCGTGCTTATCGTTTACTGGTTTTAACGTCGGTTCTGCGATAACAAAAGTGCGCGATTTAGCGCACAAATCCACAGTGGAGGCCTCGTTTCGTGACTTTGTTCCGCTTACAGTGTAAATAAAGCATTCTGGTAATGAAAGGAAATGTATATTTTACCTTTCTAAAAATGTTTACACGTATTTTTAATCAGCCCACGAAAGGTTACCATAACTCGTTAAAGCTTTATATTTATATGAATTCAGTCAAGTTAAAATAATAATTAAATATTGACAAAATAGAATCGAATAAAGCTCGATTTTTTTTAAAAAGTATTCTCAAGTAGTCGGGATTTTTTTCAGCTTCTTATAAAATGATATGTATTACGTTTTTATTGAATAACGATTTGAATCTCCCAACTTAAAGACATTCACTCTAATTCCACCTTAAACACTAAACCCACTACGGGGGACGGTCTCTCTCCCTCTTTCTCCCTCCAGTGGCGAAACCTTTCACTAAACCTGTGTTGTGTGTGTTTATTCAGTTGCCGTGTTATTCAGGAATGGGTGAAATGAGAAGAGCCGCCGCTTTGGGGTCGCTTTGTGCACTTTTTCTGTTGACTTTGTGTTTTGCACAAGACACTCTTTGGCACTAAACGGACTTTCTGTCGACGTCAGCTTCAGCAGGAAGTTTTCAAGTGAGTAAGCAATTTTCAGTCGTTTGTTTACAACGTCATTAGCGTGATAGCTGTCACAGGATAACATTTTTAAATGCTGAAATATTAAATTAAGTGAGACGCTCATTTCAAATGTTGTGTTACTTCTCTACAAATATATAAGTTACATTGATAACTTATAAGAGAGACAGGTGACTAAATGTTCACCCCACTGGAGCAGTAGCTGTGGGCAAACACTTCTGTCCCACCAAATACTTTCCATGAATGCCCCCTTTAGTGTAGTGGCATGCCCAGAAATAGTTTGCGTGATAGCGACTTTTAAAAAAAGACGAGTAACAAGCTCCATTTAGACTACATGTAAATTAGCATAGTTTTAAGAACACTTCCTAAAATGCCGCAGAGTTTTAATTTCATAAATATGCATTTCTGCTCCTGATCCCTGAGTAAGGGGTGAAAAAATGTTGAGCAACACAGAGGACAAACCTAGCTGCAGATTATTTAAAGCTTACAGTCTTATGCTGCAGTGCTGGACGAAATCAACCTGCAGTTTTCAGGTTTGGTTCTGGGCTTGTTGATTTCACAAATGTTTATAGAATATCGCATTTGTTCTGACTTGAATCAAATCCATTACGTCTGACACCAAATGTTCTGCTGTAACTTCTTTTTCTGTATTTCGTTTCTGTGGAGTTGTGAGATATGACTTCAGAAAATAAAGATTCAGACACCATGCCGGACCCCCTGCTCATCCAGGAGAGTGGGGAAGTGTACAGAAACCCCACTGAAGTGCAGATGAGTCAGATCGTGCTGCCCTGTCATGCCAATCACTGTGGGGAGCTGAGTGTTGGACAGCTGCTGAAGTGGATGGACTCCACAGCCTGTTTATCTGGTAGGAAAGGATCAGGAAAACTCTCACATGTACAGTTTAATCGGAGATTCTCTTCTCCGATGCGCCTCATTCCAAATGCAGATTAAAGCTGCAAATAAAGGCTAAATGATTGCATTAAAATTCTTATGAGCTTTCTGTAACTCTGCTTCTGGCAAGTCGCTCATTAACTCAAACATTTGAATGCAACTGCAACCTTGAATACAGACCATGGTAGCACCATTAACCATCCACCATCATTTCAACTGAAGTATTGTAGGTGGAAGTAATGGGCATGAGTTAGAGTCTGATCATTGAATTTTTTAAACGTGTTTGATGCTGTTTGTTTTGTAATCGCTGTCACACCCACTATAATCTTCAGTCATGTTGCGTGAATGCTCATATCACAGTGCTGATTTCCTTCACTTTATGGAGCAGGGATATTTGCAAAAATACTCACAGGTTTCAGTGTATCACGAAAAATTGAAACTCGGGGACTCATGAATTCTGCTCTTACATAGAAGTCTGAGGGCCACTGCTGCAAAACGCTCTGTCACCCTTAGTGCTGCAGGCCCTTATCACGTGACCTCAGGGATCTGCTGGTGATGTATGGGTGTAAAAGCTCTACTGTCCATGCAGAGCTTTTACAGTCAAAACCAGATTGTTAAAGTGGACTCTGAAATTAGAAATGGTGTGACATGTTAGTACTTAGAA